TAGGAGAGCTAGGGGAGGGAACTGTTCCTATGGAGATAATGAGCAGTGGGTTGTGGGGGGAGAAAATGAGGGGGTCTGTGTACCCTTTCTTCACTGACATGTTTTCATGTCACACCTATGTTCTTTGCCACAGTGATGGCTCTTGGAATCACTTTTGAAATTTGTCCCCACATCTATGCAGAACAAGCCACTCTTGTGGGAGCCGGGCTGATGCAGGAAGCCAACCGCCTGTCTTATTTTCACAACGTAGCCTCCTGTTTGAAGCCAGGTGCTGGCCTGCAGGCAGGGCTCCGAAGTGGCTGAGACAGAGGCACTGCACTGTCAGCCTGGGGCTTGCGGCCCGTGAAGTTTAAGTTCCCCATGGGTAGCCAGGGTAGAAACTCCCAACAGCACGCCACCTCTGAGACTCCGGGACAGCTGGTTTGGAAGGCTGTGGGAGGCATGTGTGGTAGGGTTTAAGCCTGTGGCCTTGGACATCTGAGCCTGGTGGGAGTTGTGCTCTAGTGCTGACTGGGTGACAGAAAGTAATTACCAATCTCACGGCTTCCGCTGTCTCAACTAGAAACGGGGACAGCACAACTGACGCGCTGGGATATGAGGGGGTCACCAAGGTATGTGCCCAGCATAGACAAGGTGCTCCGGGGTGTCACCTGCTGCGTGACTGGAGATACTGTGGGCTAGGGCAGTCACCAGCGTGGCCCAGCAGTTCTTGTGGCCCCTGAGCTCTGGCCAAAGGCAGGCAGGACCCCATGCACCCCCACCCCCAGCCCCACCCCAGGGGACTGGCTGCTGGCCCCTGCTTCCCCACCTCCTGATATACAGCGGGCATTAGGCCGCCCAAAGGGGATACTGCATCCTTAGGAAGAAATATGTCCTCATTTTTCTTAAACACCGTTTCCACTGAGTGAAATGTTTAGAAGGGACGCGCAGGGAGAACTTTATTTCCTACCAGGGAGTTCAGAGTCACCAAGCAGAGCCCATAAAGCACCGGAGCCCGGTGGCTGACAGGCAGCCTGGCCACAAAATACATTACTCATGGGGGGTGGAGATAGGGGGCTGCCAGGCCTGCCCAGCCCCATAGGACTGCCTCTACCCCACAAGATTAGCCACTCCAGGACCCAGGGCTATCAGGTAGTAAGCACCAAGGCTCTCCTGTTGTGCCCAGGCTGCCTGCGGCAGAGGGTCTGGCTGGACCAGCTGAGGAGGGAGCAGTTCTTCTAGCTATGCCCGGTGTTTACTTCATGGTCAAGGAGGTGGGGGACCTGGGGCCCAGGTGCAGCCCTCTGAGCACCCCCTTCTCACCAAAGCTGGCAGGAGCTCTGGCCTTCCCAGCCTTCAGAGGGAATGATGAGATTCATGCCATATCGGGCCCTTCTCCTGAGGCCCTCCCTTCATTCGATTTCTGAAGCTGGCTGATTTGAATATTTATAAATATCAGTAAATTATTTATTGTAGCAATCTGCTGCACCATTTTATCCATCGCAGTTAACACTTTAGGGGGCTCCCAAGTTATGGGAACAGGAAGTGAGGTTGAAGAGGAAATGGGATAGGGGATGAGAGGAACTCCTGTAGGAAAGCCAGGGATGTTTCGAGCCCAGCCTCAGTGGCTCTTGTGAGCATGTCCTTATGCTCTGGGCCAGGGGTGGGGGTGGGGGATCAGCTTTCTTCTCTGACAAATGGGATTATCATGGTGCCTACTCAACTGTCCTTAGGAGCCTTCAATGAGTCCCTGCTGGAATGATAGGCAGTTGTGCTTTTCTTTACCAACTCTGACAGGCTCTGCTTTTTGCTTGGATGCCTACTGGGAGCTTATTGAGTTTCAAGCCTCATGAGGAGAATTGGGACCCAGGGAGCTAAGAGGTGGCTGAAGAGGAGGCCTGAAGGAACCACCTCAATCCTCTGTCTGTCCTTTCCCCCTACTTCCCTGGGTCAAATGAGCTTTTCCAAGGTCTTCGTATCTTGATTGAGATGTGACATCCACCTGCCTGTTGCCCCTTTCAGGATGCAGCATACTTTTCCCAGTCCTTGCTTCCCAGGCCCTGTGCATGGCACAGACAGACCTCACCTTGCACTTTTAGGGAGAAATCCGCTCCAGTCTTGGAGCTCACAATGGGCAGAGCCAGACTATATGCTCAGGGCTCAGACTCCAGGACTCTAATCTACACTGAACACTTCCTAGTGTTTGCCCTGCTGGTGTAGAGCGGCTGGGGCCAGGAACAGGCTACCAGGAGTGGAATGCACACTTCCAGGTCCTCCTTAACTCTCCTCTCTTCTTCCCACCTTCACGGCCACCCCTGAGTCTGCCCATCTATGGGTCAGCAGACCGGGAGCCCCCTGAGCTTCCCACCCTCCAGCCCAGCCTGCCTCCTGGGCAGTATTGTTCCCAAAGGAAGTGTCCAGTGTAAATAGAGCAGCGGGCAGGCTAGTGGCGGGAAGGAGATGAAAGGGGCAGTGACAGGACCGGGGACGGATGGCTTCCTTCCATTGAGGCCTGGCCATGGCGTTTATATTTTAGGGAAGAAAGTCAGAGGAATGTTTACACGGTCAGGAGTCTGGGGTCAGACCAGTGGGGGGTGTGTTAATCTGGAGGTCCCAAGGCCTTGATGGAGGGGCTGGCTGAAGGTTCATGGGGACCGGAAGGCAGGCAGACAGCCTAGCTCTCAGCCTCATGCATAAGCCCCTTCCTGCCACCCCAGCCTTACACTCACGAGGGCACTTAGGACTGTAAACCTGGCTCTCACCTCTCCCTCTCTGTCCCTGTGTCCTGGGCCTAGACACCTCCTACTTCTCCACCTCCACCCTTGGGACTATCAGTGGAGTCAGGGGGAGGGCAACATCTGGAAGGCAGGTGGTCTGGGGCAGAGCAGCAGCTGGAGGGCAGGTGTAGAGGGAGTTGTCTAGAGCAAAGGGGCTTGGGGCTGGGGGTGGGCCCTGAGCGCACAGCTGCATCGCAGCTGGTGGGGACCCAGGCAGAGACTCGGCTCCATGCCGAGATGGAGAGAGGGTGGGTTGTGCTGGGTGGGCCGAAGTTCAGGGAGGCTCCAGGATGGGTGGGGACCAGAGGAGGGGGTGTTGCCAGAAGCAAGTGCAGCCCTGAGTGCTTGTGCTTCCCTCTTCCTTGGGATAAATATTTATAGATTCATTTGCCGTCTGCCATACACACTTGGCTGCTTACCTCCTGGTAAAAATAGTGCAGGCTCCTCCACTCCCGCCTGCCTCTTCCCATCCAAGACAGGGACAAAGGGTCCCAGGTGAGGCCTGCTACCCTGTGGAAGTCATGTGTTATCACAGAGCCTGATGGTCTGCCCAGAGGCTAAGTGGGATGGGGTGTGGCCGTGAGCCCTGTCACTGAGTTTCAAGACAGAGCCACATGTAGGTGCTCAGGGATTTGTGTTGGACAGCACAGCCCTGGCACTGTGGGCAGACATGAATACAGAGGGCTCTGGTTTGGGCAAAGCCATGACCTCTGGACGAGGATTATGGGAACGGGACTGAGCAGATCTTTCTGTAGCCATGGACTAGGCTGGCATTGGCCAGTCCCTTCTGGGCCGGACAGGGCCTTACATATCAGCGGCTGTGACGAGGCAGGGATCTGGCGCCACTGGGCATTGTATATTTGAAGGGGTGGTTAATCTGCACGTGCAGGTCAAGGCGGTTATCTTTGTGTGGCACGAGGCCTCCAGGCAGACACAGATATAGCCACAGGTGGGTCCTCAGCGTGTGGGTTTTCGTGGTATTTGACCATCACATGTCGCAGCCCCTGAGGAGAGCCCCTCACACAGCCTTCCGACCCATATGGGTCATGCCAGTTTCCCTGGCAAGAGCTCTGGAAAGTAGGGGGGACCCTATCCGCAAAGGTTTGGTGTGCAGAGAGTGTCCACGCGGCCACTACACTGTAGGACCTCACTAAATGGATGGGTGGACGGCTGGCAGATCGATACGTGGGGTTACAGAGTGTATGTGTGTGTGTGCCTTTGTTAGTCTTCCTGGCCAGCATGCCCCTGAGACCCTAGAGGCCTAATGAGGCTAGAGGACAAGCTGAGCAGTGTGAGGGGATGGCTCAGTGGCTGTCTCTAGAGATTATACACAGGATCTGTAGGTCCAACTGGTCCCAACCTGTCCTTACCGAGGGTCCTCTGGGTTGGGAAATAGACTTCTCAGCCCCAGCTAGACTTTCCAGGGCTCCAGGAACTAAATGGAAGATGGAGGCCCTAAGAAGAGTGGCCATGGGAGGGTTGTGAGGAGGTCTGTGTTTGTGGAAAGGAAGGAGCAATAGGAAATGGCCAGACTCCATGTGGGGTAGAGATGTGAAAAGCAGAAAAGAGTGATGGGAAGGGAGGCCTTAGAGAGGGCCTGAATGGCCAAAGGGAAGAGCCCTGCCATCCAGGGAGCAGAAGTAGGAACCAGGGGCAGGGGGCAGGGAGAAGAGCTGCCAGAGAACAAGGTGCTCAGGTGGGGAAGGTGCCAGCCAAGAGCTGCCGGATCGGTAAGGCAAGAGGTTGGCACAGGCTGGAAGCTGGCTGCGGCTGCCTCTTCCCCAGGGACCTGTGGTAAGGTAGAACATTCAGAAGAAAGGCCGAGCTGCCAACAGTGCCGCATTGTCACTTGACAGCCTTCCTTCACACCAACCCCTTCACCTGTCTGTGCCTTCATTTCCTGTGCTAACGGACATGTCACCTCACAGAGGGGCCATTTCAGTCAAGGCAAGCCTAGGAAATTCTTTCAGGAATCAGGCACCGGAATTCTTGTTTCCAAGAGGGATTCATTCCTTTTTCTTTAACTACCTCCTCATGTCAGGTTCTGTGCTGGGTTCTCTGGTAGGGGAAATACGAGTCCAGCCTGGAGTACCCAGGCTAATACAGGAGATGGGCACCTGCCGGGTGGTCTCAGGGCAGCTTGACAAAGCTGTAGCCAACCAAGGGGGGGGTGGAGCGCTCCTTGGGGATGGCTGTGCTTGGTGTGCAGGCCTCTCACCTCCGTGTCCCGCTCCATCCCTGCAGCTGAAGGCACCCGGTGCACTGACCCACCAGCAGGCAAGCCTCCCATGGCAGCCAAGCGCAAAGGCGGCCTGAAGCTCAACGCCATCTGTGCCAAGCTGAGCCGACAGGTGGTCGTGGAGAAGGGAGCAGAGGCTGGCCCCCAAGCTGAAGGTAGCCCACTACGTCCCCGGGACAAAGAGCACAGTGGCCCCGAGTCTGGGGTGACCCGGGCTCCCCGAAGTGAAGAAGACAAGAGGCGGGCAGTGATCGAGAAATGGGTCAATGGGGAATACAGTGAGGAGCCTGCACCCACACCACTGTTGGGGCGCATTGCCCGTGAGGGCCTGGAGCTACCCCCGGAGGGCGTCTACATGGTCCAGCCACAGGGCTGCAGCGATGAGGAAGACCATGCAGAAGAGCCCTCAAAGGAGAGCAGTGCCCTGGAGGAGAAGGACTCAGATGGTACGGCTTCCAAGGGTGACGGCGGCCCCAGTGCCAAGCAGGCTTCAGGTGTGTGTCTGGCCATGGGGGAAGGGAAGGGGAAGGCTAGAAAAGGACCCAGTTCCCTGGAGAGGCCCAGCAGGCAAGAGTGGTAATCCAGGGAATTCTTCCTTGTTTCTCCAAACACTGGAGAGATGGGGTGGGAGTGTGTGTGTCGGGGAGGGGGGCAGGATAGCCGTGGCAGCTTCCCGAGTCTGAGCAGGGCCTTGGGGGGCTGCTAGCAATGGGGCTTTGGGAGGCTTTGGGGTCAGACAGACATGGGCACAGATAGACTGGAGAGATGAATGGGCAGGGCACTTGCACACCCCCGCAGAGCAGGGGTCTGTTTGCGGCCACGTGGTACCTGGCCATGGTGTGGGGACCAGTCAGATTACATCAGTGGTGGCAATGAACAGCATGAGTTCTCTTCTCTACGCCTGCTCTTAGTGGCTTAACCAAAATGTCTAGAAAGGGCTTTGTGCCCTAGTCCACCCTGTCTCCTTCCCTGTGCCCCATCCTGCCCTCTGAAGCAGGGGTTCTCAGAGCCACAAGCCTGGCTTGGCCCAGCCAGCAGATTCCCCTCAACATGCAGCTGCCCTGGACATGTTCCTCGGGTTGACCTGTTTTCCACAGGGCGGCAGAAGCCTGGCTTCATCAGTGTCTCCTTGTCCTTAGGACACAGCAGCCTTCCCCGTTTCTGCTCCAGGGGAGGGCTGGCCTGGCATTTCAGACCGGAGAGGGGTCTCCTCTTGGACTGGAGCTGGGGTCCTGGCTCTAGTCCCCAGTCCCCTTCCGAGGCTTATTCCTGGAGCCCTGTGCCTCCCCTGCCTGCTCCCCTGTCCCCTTCCCCCTGCAGCGAGGGGCGCATCTCCTCCCTGTGCGGGGAGCCCTGCGCAGCCACATAATTATGCATATAAGATATAAACAGAGCTGTTTAATTATCCTTCGCCACATCAGTGACAGAGTAATTAACAAACATTGCAAGATCAATGAGGAAAAGTGTGACCTTCAGTTTCCTCTGATAGGAAAAGCCCTTGCTGTTGCCAGACACAAGGTGATTGTGCTGGGCCTGAGGAGAGGGGAGGGGTGGATACAAGGGCTGCCGTCCCCCCAATACCCTCACCCCACACCCAGCTCCACCATGGCCAGGACCATCAGGTAGTCTCTCTTCCGGCCTTCTTCCCCTACCCCAGGAATTGGGAGCTGAGAAGGCAGAAGCAGGGCGTGGACTGTCGAAGCTGTCTGGCCCCTCAGCCCTGAACACTGGGTCTCTAGCCCAAGCCCGATCTGCCCACCATGGGTTTGGCTCCCCGAGACTTTGGCTGTCTGTGGGACCCCCGCTGGTCCCCTCCCTGTTCGATGCTGCCTGCCCTTCCGAGCCTTCTGTTTCTCTGCCATATATAGTGAGGACTCAGCTGCCTCTAGCTATTTTTAGCCCTTTTCCCTGGTCCCTGAACCACTTCATCCAGCAAGCAGAGCCCACTCCCAGGACAGCCCCCAACCTGTGTGTCTGGAGCTCAGGCCTGTGCTGACCCCCAAAGCAACTGTCTGCGAGCTCCTGGAGTCACTCTGTGTGTCAGGGAGTGTCTGATGGTCCCTTTTTGTGTCTAGTGGGGTCCTGTTGCCCTCCCCATGATGGCTCAGAGCCCCTCCTTCTACATCCTGCTGGGCTTTCTCTCCTGCTAGGGCACACTGCTCCATCAGCTCGCCTTCCGGGATGCTCTGAGACTCCTAACGCTGGCAGGATTGGAGGGAGTCAAGGGTCCCCTCTGGCCATGCTCTTAGGGCCTCTAGCCTAGAACCTGGTTGCTCTGAGTGTGCTCACGTGGAGGGAGCATGGGAGCAGGTAAAGCACGGGAGTCCCTGGGCTGTTCCATCGTGCTTGCCTGTGTGTACCTGACCTGGGTGCTGGGGACAGCCCACAGGAGGTGTCTAGCAGGAGTTTGGTGGAGAAATGGATGAGCTTGTGTATGTTGGGGATTGTCCATCTGCAGTGGTGACACGGTGTGGAAGAGGCGATATGAGGAGCTCAGCTCCTCCAGCCCTGCTGAGGCTGGTCCTGGGGCTTGGAGGATTGTGTAGTGCCTGCGTGTAGCACTGGGGAAGGTGTCTGCGGAGATGAAATCAGTGTGTACGTGAACGTAGGCACGCGTCAGTGTAGTATGTGAGAGCATGTCTGCAAGTATGTATGTGAGGATACGTGTGTAGTATATGAGTATGTATGTGTGTCCTTATGTGAGGGAGGAAGGGAGGAGGAGAGAGACACACACACACAGAGAGGAGGCAGAGTTCTCAGAGTGTAGGGCAAGGGTGGTGGGGAAGATGGACACCCTGCCCTCAGGCCTGGTACCCTGGACCCAGCGTGGCTCGGTCTTCACTCCAAGTAACCCACCCTTAGATGTGAGCAGAGGGAGCTGCAGGGTGGCCAGGGGCTCTGAAGGGCTTGTCCCTGATACAGATCGTGGCTCCAGGGGTGGTGGTGGGCGCTGATTAAGTCTGGTAGGCACACTGATGTGCTTCCTGCATCCGCTCAGCTGTTATTGGGGAAAGTTTGAGGAGGCTGGTCAAGAGCTCAGATCTGAGACGTCTTAGGCCAAGTCTTTCCTCTGCCCAGGGATCCATGTGGCATTAGGCTTGATCCTCCAGCCAGGCAGACCCCAGACTCACAGTGGCTTCCCCTACTTTGGAGTCCCTCCTGGCTGTTCAGTCAGTGGTCCCCAACACTACCTGTTCTGTTCCTCGTGACCACTGTCCCTGCCTCAGAAGGCAGGTTGGGATCTTGCCTTACTTCCAGTAAAATGGCTTCTCTTTCATATTAGGCCAAGGCGAGAGAGCAGAGACATTTATGAAACTTTGTTTAATGTACTGAAAAGCCATCGGCCAGAACATTTAGGAAATTGATTTTCCTGGCATTGATGAACTCGTTTTATTTTACCCCAGTATTAATTACTTTTTTTTAAAACAAATTAATTTAAGAGTCGTAAAACCTAACAAGTGAGCCAAATGTCCATAGATCATGTCCTGCTCTGCCCCTCCCACCACTGGTCCCCTCCCTCCATGGGTGGGGGCCCAAGGTAGAGGGGCTTCTTCTCCCTTGCTCCCTCCCAGGAATGACCCACCCCTGTCTCCCCCCCCCCGCCCCCCCCCCCCAGGAGAAGCCTCCTCTTTGAGGGACTACGCTGCTTCCACCATGACTGAATTCCTCGGCATGTTTGGCTACGATGACCAGAACACCAGGGATGAGCTGGCCAGGAAGATCAGTTTTGAGAAGCTGCATGCAGGCTCGACCCCTGAGGCAGCCGCCGCTTCCATGTTACCCACCTCTGAGGATACCCTCAGCAAGCGGGCACGTTTCTCCAAATATGAGGAATACATCCGCAAACTCAAGGCCGGCGAGCAACTGCCCTGGCCAGCCCATGGCAGCAAGGCTGAGGACCGGGCAGGCAAGGAGCTGGTGGGCTCCTTGCCCAGCCTACGGCTACCCAGCCACACCGCCCACCTGGAAACCAAGGCCACCATCTTGCCATTGCCGTCCCACGGCAGTGTCCAGATGCAGAACCTGGTAGCCCGTGCCTCCAAGTATGACTTCTTCATCCACAAACTGAAGACGGGCGAGAACCTGAGGCCCCAGAACGGAAGCACTTACAAGAAGCCATCCAAGTACGACCTGGAGAACGTCAAATACCTGCACCTCTTCAAACCCGGGGAGGGAAGCCCTGACATGGGCGGGGCCATCGCCTTCAAGACAGGCAAGGTGGGGCGCCCTTCCAAGTATGATGTGCGGGGCATCCAGAAGCCAGGCCCTACCAAGGTTCCGCCTGCCCCCAGCCTGGTTCCTACACCCATCGCCAGTGTGCCCAGTGGTCCCAGTGCCCCTGGACCTGGACCTGAGCCGCCCGCCTCCCTGTCCTTCAACACTCCCGAGTACCTGAAGTCAACCTTTTCCAAAACGGACTCCATCACCACGGGAACTGTCTCCACTGTCAAGTAAGGAGCCCCCGCCCCCACTGCCACCACAAGCCCTGGACAGGGAGGCCTACCCCCTTACCTGCAAAGCCTACTGTGTTGAAGCCACTGTGCCATGCTTATACACGCGCACACACATACATGACTGCTCGTGTGCCCTCATCCGGTGCCTTTGCACTGTCTGTTCTTAGACCTTGCACGTGGTGCACCTCCTATGTACCCTCACCCTGTCACAACCCCCTTTGCAGTCCTCATCCGCTAAGCTCTGTTGCCGTGGCCAGTCTCCTCTGCCCACTGGTTGGTAGCAGTAACTCAGTCTGGGGTGGGGATGAGGACTGCGGCCTTGGCTCCTGGTGCACAACCTGGTCCACTGGAAAGACAGAAAGATGGTAGGGAGTTAGGTGAGGGCTACCTCCTGTGAACCTGTAACCCAGGGACAGAGGACTGGCCCGGATGCTAAAACATTGGGTCTGGTTAGGCCAAATGGCACCCTTTCCTCTGCAGCGGCAGTCAGGGACCTACAGGCCTACAGGCCTGGAGGCTGTGAACCGGGCAGATTCAGTCAACACCCTTTGGTATGAGGGTGGGAGGGGAATGCCCAGACCGAACACATGTGTCCAGGACAGCTGTCCTCTCCTGCCTCCTCTGGTTGGCTGGCGTTTCTCCTCAGCCATCACCCTGCTTATTCCCATTGTGTGCTGGGGCTTCCCACCTGGGCTAACTGTCGGCCTGGCTGGGCCCTCCAGCCCTGCCTGCTCAGGGTCACACACTCTTGTCAGAGGTGGGCTAACTGAGCTCCTCTGGGCTTCTGCCAACAAACTTTTCCAGTACTTCCCTGAGTGCCTCAGAAGGATACAGGAGAGAGGAGCCAGGGCCCAGGGCAGGGAGCTGCCCATCAGATGCTCCTGGGGCCTGAGGCCACCCCCATCCACTAACTGGCTGTGCCCTGTGTGTCTTACCAGGAACGGATTGCCCACAGATAAACCAGCTGTCACCGAAGATGTAAACATTTACCAGAAATATATTGCCAGGTAGGCCCTTGGGGAGGAGCCTGTGGACAGAGGTGGGGAAACCCAGCAATGCCCCAGGGCTGTGGAACCACCCGAGGATCAGCTCACCCCTAGGACCAGGGGCTGCTTTCTCCGCACCTCCTCTCACTCTGTCTCTAAGCTCCCCCAGAAAGGCTGCACCTGTGCCCATCTCAGACCTCCTTTTTGGGGTAGTACAGGCAACACCGTTCTTAGGCAGCTTGTAACCTAAGTAGGGCCAGAATGTAGGGGAAAGGCTTGGTGCCAGGCGTGCCACAGGTGAATACATGAGCCCCGTGGGTAGCTGACCTGGGTCCTGCCTTCTGTGGAGCCCTGGATAGAGTGCAGAGCACAGTAGAGCTATTGGGTTAAGGGAAATGGACAGTCATTCTTCTTCAGGCACTGCGTGCTGGGATCCCGGGGGCGGGAGGAACCCTGATGAAGCCAAACTTGAGATCCATCCTGCAGGAGCCAGGATTGGCAGATGAAGATCCATCTCCACACATTCCCAAGTTGAGCCTCTCGAGGAACATGTGGCAGGGGTCACGCCCCGGCGGCATCTGTCTTCCTGCGGTCTCCCATGTTCTTCCTTACCCTCTGTCTTCTCTTTATTGCTATCGCCATGATTACTATTAGTGCCTCAGCAGATGGCCTTTTTGGCAGCTCCCATTGAAATCCTGATTGCCGGTGGCTTTCCCCGTACAGTGGGGCTTGTCCCCACCCACACCCCCTCACAGAAGGGAACAGGCCAGCTGAGTGTGAGTGCCTCCCCAGGGCCCTCATGGCTGGCTTTTCGCAGAGTGGCTGGCCATCACCAAGTCTGTGAGAGCCACGCCCTAACACATCTAGGCCTAGAGAGGGGCCATTCAGCAGCCAGCAGTGCAGGGCTCTTGACCGTGCACTTGGCTGGAAAGTGAGCTCCCTGCCTCGGGAAGCCGACCAGATGCTAGGCTTTAAAAATTCATAACTCTGGACTGTTTCAAGTGTCAGGAAAAGCCCAGAACAGAGAGAAAGCCTTTAACACTTCTCCACAACAGCCCAGGGTTGGCCCAGCCAGGGGCCCCTCCCGGGCTGAGCTGCCAGGGTAGCGGGTAGGGGGTTGGTCAGGCCGCTACCTGCTGAAAAGGCCTTTGGGTTGTGTGGGGATCTGTGTCCTCCCTGGTCCTTCTGTTACTCAGACTTGATGCTGTGGCCCGTCCCAGCTGCTTCTTCCCCACCCAAGTCCTGACCTCTGCTCTGTCTGGCACTGCCTTCCAGGCAGTTCGGTAGGCCCGGGATCCCTGACAGGTGTAATCACTGGTTCTGGCTTTCCCAGCCTCTGCTATGTTACCCTTGTCCCCCTGTATTTCCACCCAGGCCCACTAAACCCCAGAAGTACATCTTTGGGGCCAAGGCAGAAATAGCTGTCCAGGCCTGGGTTCTCAGAGAGTCCTTTCTGGGACTCGCATCCTGAGATGGTTCTGACCCTCCTCCCGCTCCCGTTTTCAGGTTCTCAGGAAGTCAACACTGTGGCCACATCCATTGCGCCTACCAGTACCGAGAGCACTATCACTGCCTGGACCCAGAATGCAATTACCAGGTATGGGCCACACTGTGCTCACCAGCCAGCACAGCACTGCCGGAAGTAGGTGTTGGGGGAGGGTCCTCCACTAGCCACCTGAGCTTCACCTGGGTAAGCAGAGGGCGCGGACTAGTTGTCTGCGTTCCTAGGCTCTGGCTAAGCAAGCAACAGGGCCTGCAGTAGCTGTTGATGTCTCAGTGGTGCAAATCCCGGCTCCCTTTCACGGGGAGTCTAGCACGGACCAAGGCTGGACCCGTCGGTCTGAACCGCTGACTGTCTTTCCGGGGCTTTCAGAGGTCGGCCTTACTGCTTCATTTTCAAAATGAACTGCTGAGATCACATGTTCGGGGCCTCTGCTGGCAAGGGCAGAGCTGGCCAAGAGGTATCCCTGGGCCAGCTGCACACACTCGCGCCCTCTGTCTGGCCTGCCCAGCCTGTGCACTGAGCACTAGGTAGAACGTGTGTTCACCCTCGGAGCCCCGGCCTTGAAGGCCAGCCCAGCGGTCTGTGCTCCTGGGTGTGGCCGTTGGGAGCCTCGGGAGAGATCAGGAAAGGACTGTGGTTTCTGAGTCTCTGGAGCCATTCCTACTGGGAGTCAGTGTGCCGGGAACTGGCTGGGCAGCCGGAGCTGTCTTGACCCTAAGCAGGGTTATTTTTAGGGTGACCTGAGGGCCTTGGGGCCAGCCCTGGTCCAAGCACTGTTGGCACAGGGACTGGGCACGGGCGCCTGCCAACTTGGTGCTCTTCCCTGGCAGAGGTTCACAAGTAAGCAGGACGTGATCCGGCATTACAACATGCACAAGAAGCGCGACAACTCCCTGCAGCACGGCTTCATGCGCTTCAGCCCGCTGGACGACTGCAGCGCCTACTACCACGGCTGCCACCTCAACGGGAAGAGCACCCACTACCACTGCATGCAGGTGCCTGCGGCGCCAGCGGCAGTCAAGGCCCGGCGGGCCGGGACCCGCCTTTTCTCCTGACCCCAGGCAGGGGTGGCTGGCGAGTAGGGTCCCAGAAGCTCCGATGCTGGCCGTGTCTGGTGGCCAGGGTGGGGCCTTCCCTGTGGCCATACTTGGTGTGGGGGAAATTCAGTGAGCTGTTTATATAGACCGACATTTTTCGGGCTTTAACACCAAGAGCAGCATTGCAAATGATTCCTGCAGAAGTTTTTTGTTTAATTCTTTGTTTTAATGCCACTCCGAGTCTGGGCTTTTTCAAGGTGTCAAGCCCAGGAGGAGCAAGCAACTTTGGGTTGCAAATAGCAGCCTGCATGCCTCCCCCGAGCTTGTCAGGGGTTGTTATGGCCTCTCCGAAACAGACCGGTGTGAGGAAAGGGGGGCCACCCTCTGGGCCTGAGATGGTGCAGACACTGGCACAGCCCAGCCTTCGAGGGTGCTCAGAGCCACTGCTTTTTTACTCAATATGGCAACATTGCCTGCCTGGCCCAGCTGCAGTGGGTGGGAGGGCCCCGTGCCCAGGAGCCATCCACTAAGGAAGTCCTGGGATAAAGGTGACCTCCAGGGTCCAGCCCTCGTCCAAGCCTAAGGCCTTAGAGATAGTCACCAACTAGGACCAAACCTAACTTCTCCAGAAAGTGGGTCCCTCACCTGAACCTAAAAGTATATGGGGCCCAAAACAGTCCAATACTCAGAAGACAGATGGAAGTCCCTCCCCGGGAAGGCTGGAGTCCCTGGAGGTTTTCTTTGCTTCAGAGCCTGGGTTAGCCTGAGGAGTCTGAGGTTTGGAGCTGCCTGACTCTCCCCTGAATAGAAGCCCTACAGCCCTGGCTCCAGCCTCGGCCCTGAGCTTGGCTGGCCCGGGGGAACCGAGCCGTGTCCCCTGACCGCCCTCTGGCCTCTGCAGGTGGGGTGTAACAAGGTATACACAAGCACCTCGGACGTGATGACCCACGAGAACTTCCACAAGAAGAACACCCAGCTCATCAACGACGGCTTCCAGCGCTTCCGAGCCACGGAGGACTGCGGCACAGCCGACTGCCAGTTCTATGGACAGAAGACCACGCACTTCCACTGCAGGTGGGTGACCGAGGCTGCAGGAGGGACCGGCAGGGAGCCAGGCCCGAGGGCCACCAGGGCCCTGCTCCCTCTGGGAACACAGGCAGGCGTCAGGGCTGCTCAATGGCCCTGCCTCGGTGTTCGGCCTGAGTCTTCCCCTGAGGGACCACCCCTCCCGGGAGACCCTGTGTCAGGCTCCCCGTGTCACACACAGGCGCCCAGGCTGCACGTTCACCTTCAAGAACAAATGTGACATCGAGAAGCACAAGAGCTACCACATCAAGGACGACGCCTACGCCAAGGACGGCTTCAAGAAGTTCTACAAGTACGAGGAGTGCAAGTACGAGGGCTGTGTGTACAGCAAGGCCACCAACCACTTCCACTGCATCCGCGCCGGCTGCGGCTTCACCTTCACCTCCACCAGCCAGATGACCTCGCACAAGCGCAAGCACGAGCGCCGGCACATCCGCTCCTCGGGCGCCCTGGGGCTGCCGGCCTCGCTGCTGGGCACCAAGGACACGGAACATGAGGAGTCCAGCAACGACGACCTTGTGGACTTCTCTGCCCTGAGCAGCAAGAACTCCAGCCTCAGCGCCTCCCCCACCAGCCAGCAGTCTTCTGCGTCCCTGGCCGCCGCAGCCTCTGCCGCCACCACCGAGGCTGTGCCCGGCGCCTCCAAGCCTCCCAATAGCAAGATGGCAGGCCTGCTGCCCCAGGGCCTGTCTGGGTCCCTTCCCCTAGCGTTGGCCCTCTCCAACTCAGGCCTGCCCACCACCGCACCCTACTTTCCTCTCCTTCCTGGCCGTGGGAGCACCTCACTGCCTGTGGGATCTCCGGGGCTCCTGGGCTCCATGTCCTCTGGAGCCGCAGCCACATCAACCCCTGACATGCCGGCTCTGGTGGCTTCCGGAGCTGGAGACGCAGCCCCCACAGCTGCTACCTCTCTCTCAGTGCCCCCTGCCTCCATCATGGAGAGGATCTCTGCGAGCAAAGGCCTCATCTCACCCATGATGGCTAGACTGGCTGCGGCCGCCCTCAAGCCCTCTGCCACCTTTGACCCAGGTGAGCAGGCTGGGCCCTGCCCAGTAAGCGAGCGCACTTGGCAACTGGTATCGCCCAGTCCTCAGACTGAAGAGCATGGGGCAGGCTGGGAAGAGTGTCCGCCCCATCCAAGCAGCTGCATCTCCTACCCAGCAGCCCCTTCTCTTTGCCTCTTCTCTGTCTCCATCCTGTTGGGTTTCTCTTTGGGGGTCCCTCATTTTGGCCATGCACCCAGGGACTTTGTGCCTCTGCTTCTCTTCACTTGGAGCCTGTCAGTAGTCCCTGTCTCTGAAGGCTTGGGTGTTCTCATGGCGCCAGGTCTCGCTGGCTCTGTCACCAGCGAGTCCCTGAGCAGAGCTCCCCCAGGCCACCTCGTCTCTTGGGTCTTCTCTAGTTGACACAGAGTGGAACAGAAGCCCAGGGAATAGGCCTTTCCATCCCACACCCGGACAGCACCCAGGCCAAGCGATGACTCTCGGGTCTCTCCCCTTGTCTCCCTCTCTCTTTCTCTGTTCTTCCTTTTTCTTTGGAAGGTGTTTGTTTGTTTGTTTGTTTGTTTGTTTGTTTTTCCTGTTTTCCCTGCCCCTATTCCTCAGAGGGTAGTCAGTGCTATTTGGATTCCTGGAAAGAGTTCAGCTCACACCTGGGCTATGGCTCCTTTCGTTTAGTCATTCAACAACCACTGGTGCTTACCCAGAGTACCTGGCTGGCTGTTTGCTGAGCTGCATGATGAGGACAGAGAGAAAGGCCCTCCCCTGTAGAGCTGGTGAGGCAGGGAGAGAGATCTGTGCCCAGGCATAGCCTCAGCAGCCTGGCTGCCCAGGCTTCCTGCTCAGCTCCCATCCAAAACCCTTTCAGACACAGCCAAGGCTGAGGGTGCAGACCCCTCTCATCCCACCTCTTGAGGATCTTAGTTGGCGAAGGGAGCTGGGCTTTTCCTCTGGAGCCCACGGTAGGATAAGTGACTTCCGGAGCTACTATAGTGTGGACTCCCGAGGACTGTTCTCTCGTGGGGTCGTGGCCAGTCCGGAAGCCCTGTCTTCCATTCCAAGCGTGGGAGGAGTCCTGCAGGTAGAGCCACCAGACTCTTCAGGCTACCAGACTCTCAGGTCATTTCTTTTCCCTGGAAAAATCTCTCCCCTTCATCCTCCCCCAAAAAGAAAGGTCAGGTAAAGGGGAGGGGAGCTGTTTCCCTTTTATTTTTAATAAAATGTCACTTGCGTCTGTGGAGCAGCTCTGTAAGTTGTAGTGCCTTGGGGCAAATTAATATTTCAGTCACTTGGGGATTGTGGGGAGCAAGGCTCACTGGACACCATTCTGTCAGCAACTTCCTTTGCCCCTGCCCCGTCAGCCTCCTGTGGCCTCTTCCACAGAGCTCCCCTTGCACCGGTCAGGCATCCAGGGTGGGCCGCAGTCTCTGCCCTGGACAGCTTGACAGACAGACGAGGTCACATAGATTGAACCACCCTGATTGGCCGTCAGCCTGGATAGCCCTGACACAGCAGATGCCCTCCTCAGGCATGCTCAGTGCAGACAGGGCTGTCGCCTCGGTAACAGTGGGCAGGGACTGCGGAGGGGCCGCTCCCAGTCCAGATCTGCCACTTTCCCTCAGCATTAACAGAGTCTTTAATAAAAGCTTAAGCGGCAGCCCCACAAATCGGCTGTGACAGTTGGTAGAGGAAATGAAGGGCCCCTGTCCCCGCCCAGGCCCCCTCCGCAGCCTCCCGCTCTCCTCCTCCAGGAGGCCCTAAGCCAGGACAACTTTGACATAATTTTGCAATAATTATCACTTGAAGAATTGCCACACAGGGGCACACGTCGCAAGTGATCTCGTCATCGGGAAGAATCGCTGACCAGCAGCCAGTCCTCCCGGGGGCCCCGCCTATGCGGCCCACTGCCCTTCCTTGGGGTTTGGAGGAGTGGGGGCACTAGAGTTTGTTTGTGCTGATGTGAAACCTGAGCCCCTCTGACCCCATCTTCCCCCCTCCCCCGCAGGAAGTGGGCAGCAGCCCACCCCCACCAAGTTCCCCCAGGCCCAGGCGAAGCAGGAGCCTGACAGTGCTGGCACCCCAGGCCCCCACGAGGCCTCCCAAGACCGCAGTCTAGACCTGACTGTGAAGGAGCCCAGGTGAGGCAAGGCCGGGGAAGCGCCTGCAGGAGCTGGCCTGGGCCCCAGAGAGGTGGCCTGGGCCCGCAGCTCTCAGTTGGCCCCGGGGACCAAGCTGAGCTCCCCCGTCCAGGGTTCACTCTGGCACTGAGCAGATGCAGCAGAATGGAAGCCTCAGAGCGCTAGGCTGACTGGCTGGGAGGGAAGGGCCTCTGGGCCTGGCCCCTTGGATGTCTGAGTTGAAGCCCTTGGTTTGTGTGTTCTAGTAATGAATCAAATGGCCACGCAGTCCCGGCAAATTCATCTCTTTTATCCTCGCTTATGAATAAGGTAAGAACCATCCATCACACGCCTCCCATTCCCCCACCCAGAGAAATTAAAGCTGTGCTGGGGGGCTGGGGGGATGTGTTTGTTTTTTAATGTTTTCCCTCTAATAAGATGAGTTTGTACCATTTAAATTTTGAGGCCATTTTTCATCGAATATAATTTCAGAGCCACTGCTTACAAATTAATTTAATGAACTGGCTGAAGAAATATATTTCAGCCACTGACACCTTTTTTCCCCTTCGGATAGAAGGCTCCAAAAGCTTTTCCAGAACCCTCTAACTTCTCTGGCCCTCAGTTATTAATGTTATTTATTTATTTTATGTATTTTTGTTTGTTTAAAAAGGGGTGGGGGAGGGGAGGCTAAATTGGGAGCAAAGCATCAATTTCCACTTTTCGGCTTGAGTAATGGTCTCGGACGCCTTCCGGAGAGGTCGCTCCAGAACATTTATTTTAAATAATGCAGGGTCTTTGTAAATTATACATCATCTCAAATATATTTTCCCCTTCACATGATAAATTTGACTGCAGCAAGATTAATTTGGTTACTGTACACAAGCGACTGGGTTGAAGAGGGCGCTGGGTCTGGACTGGACCTCATGTGGTGGGTGGGTTCCAGCTGGGCAGCATCAGTGGAGAGGCCCTGCTGGCCGCCCTCTCCTGGTTGCTCTCTGGCTGTCCTTTGCCCTCCTCCGGTCGCTGCCCCGTTCCTTCCCCAGGAGCCCACTGGCTCCCTCCCCCACCAGCAGCAGCAGCGGACATGTTTGATCTTACCCTATGAGGCTGTCTCATCCTCCTTTGCGTGGCTTTTATTCTCAAGAAATCCATAGGGGTTCGCCCCCCCCCCCACACACACACCATCCCTTCTCCTGCATTTCTTTTTAATACCTCCTGGCAGGAGAATAACAAGGGAGCAGCCAAGTCTAGGGAAAGGTGGGCCGCAGTGTGCATCCTGAGCAGCCACCTCAGCGTGAGTGATGATGGCTGCAGCAGCAGGCTAGCCCGTTACCTGAGGCCCTGCCTCCAGGAACCAGAGCTGCAGGCTTTCAGATGGGCCTCCTCTCTAGCCACAGCCAAAGGCGTCTGTGTGTCCCCTGCTCCCAGCCCCACAGGGCTCAGGCATTGTCCACGCTGAGGCCCCAGCTCCAAGCTCGCCTCTGTCCTCACAGATGTCTCAGGGCAACCCCAGCCTCGGAAACCTGCTGAACGTCAAGACGGAAGCGGAGGGGAGCCCCGCCGGGGAGTCCTCGCCTTTCCTGGGCAAGGCTGTGAAGACGCTAGTCCAAGAGAAGCTGTCAGAGCCCTGGAAGGTCTATCTCCGCAGGTGAGGCCTCTGCCAGAGGGCTATGCTCTCACCCACCCTGGTGGCCAGGGTCCCACCTCTTACTGAGACCCTCTAACTGGTGAGCTCCTCTGAATAGGTTTGGTACCAAGGACTTCTGTGACGCCCAGTGTGACTTCCTCCACAAGGCCCATTTCCACTGTGTGGTGGAGGAGTGTGGCGCGCTTTTCAGCACCCTGGACGGGGCCATCAAGCATGCAAAGTGAGTCTCTGGGAGGGGGGACGGTGGGGGTGACCCTTAAAACAGCCCCATCTGTGCTAGGCCGTGGGCCTGGCGGGGGACGGAGGTTGAGCAAGGCCTCTAGCCACTCTCCAAGAAATATCCCACTGCAGTGGTCAGCAGGCCACACCGAGTTCTTCATAGGTGCTACCCCAGGAAGGCAGCAGGCTTCCCTCAGTGTGGACCACCAGCTGCTCCCCGCCAGACCTAGTGGGGCCAGCTACCCCGCATAGCCCCCTGAAGAGTGTTGAGAAAGGCCAAAGCCCAGCCGGAATGATTCAGTTTGGACCCAGGAGAGGCATCCTGGATGCGGGCCTTTCTAGCACCATGTGACGCCTGTATCTTTCCTTTGACCTAATGAATTGCAGTAACTTTGTGATTTCCATAGAGTTAAAAACGCAGTGACAACCGCGCTGCATGTAACAGCACTCAGAACTTTTCTAGGTTCCTCAGCAGGCTTTCCTCTCCATCTGCTGCACCAAAGCCTACCAAACACTTGAAGCCCAGAGCACCCCCTTGAAGGGAGGGACCTGAAGAGACAGGCCTACCCTCTCACACACAGCCCAGGTGTATTGAGGAGCTCAGGGCACAAGTCGGCAGTACGTGGAATTAGATGGAGTTAGGGTCTAGCCCAGGTTCAAAACGATAGTGGGACCGACAGTTTTTTCTGCCCAGGTAGGGTCGTGGGAGACCTCCAGAGTGCATGCTGGGAATGAGGTAGGAACACTAGGCTCCTGAGCTGTGATAGGTCACATGAGGTGCCAAGTGTGCGCAGACAGGGAAGGGCTGTCCTGGCAGTGGGTCCTCTTGATTGATGTCCTGAGACGCCCTCCTCTGCCTCTCATAGCTTCCACTTCCGGACGGAGGGAGGAGCAGCAAAGGGAACCACGGAGGCTTCCTTCCCAGCCTCTGCTGCCGAGACCAAACCTCCCTTGGCACCCTCGTCCCCACCGGCACCTCCTGGCACCATGGTCCCTGGGCCTTCTTTGGAGGGACCCACTCCCAACCCAGTCTCCGTGCCCTCCACTCCCACCCTGCTCGCCTGGAAGCAGCTGGCTTCCACCATACCCCAGATGCCTCAGATTCCCTCGTCAGTGCCTCACCTGCCCACTTCGCCCCTGGCGACGACATCTCTAGAGAGCGCCAAGCCTCAGGTCAAACCCGGGTTCCTCCAGTTCCAGGACAAGTGAGTCCCTCCGGGAGGGACTGTCCCTGTGGCTTGGGAGTGGGTGTGGCCAGCGCAGCAAGGAGGCTGCCCCTCACCCTGCAGTTACCCTGGCTGTCCCCAGCCGCTGGGACTTAGCCTTCCGGCTGTACATTTTTACTGAGCAGCCAGTGGGTGGGGGATGAGCATGCTAGTGGCCTTAGCCCCAGTGGTCCGTGGGGATCCTGCAAGGACTGGCTGGGGTGAGCTGGGTATGGTGGTTCCTCAGGAAACTTCCTGGTCTTACAAAAAGGGTATGTTCCCTCTGGTCCACCTTGCTGGCCAGCTCTGTGGTGCATACCCAGGCTGAGTCAATAGGGCATGGAAGTCGAGGGTGGGAGCAGGGCCTAGGCCCCTCAAGGCCCACACAGTGGTCAGGGGTGGAAGGGACCTTCTTCACTTCATGGTGGTGGTTTCTTGCGGCGAGAACGGTGACTTTGTATCATAAAGTGTGTGGCTTCCTGTTCTCAATAAAAAGTAATAAATTGCATTATTTATACCACCTGAAAACAGCTGTCCTCCCTCTCTGAGCACCTGGGGCTGGGCCCGTGACATGGAAGGGTACAGTGCTCTCTTGTCCTCTCCTGTTTCCCAGACTCCCATCCCTTCCCTGACACGGTAGCCTCCTTAGCTTCCCGAACCTGGCGAGAGTGCCCACCGTGGGTCCAGTCTCTGGAGACCACATCTCTCCACAGCCCTCTGTAGCCTGGAGGCTCCCAGCCATGGCTGCAGCTCCCTGGCACTCAACCCTCATAGACACTAGTGGGCGGCCCAGCTCTTCCCCACACATCAGCACCCCCCCCCCCCCGGCCCCTGTCACTCCCCAGGCTCCTGTGTTCTCTGGTAGGTGGGCACGGTAGGCCCCAGTTGACCCTGCGATGTCCCAGCAGCTGTGAGCCCTAGCAGGAACTGACACCAGGTGCATGTCACCACTTGCTCACACCCCGCAGTAGTGGCACTTCCTGGTAGGGCTGCCCACCCATCTGCAGTCTGTCAGTCAGCCACATCCACGCAGTGCCATGTCTTGCCAGCCAAGCCCTTGCTGGCACCCAGCCAGGACTGGCAGCGCTAGCCATTATTTTTATGCCCAAGAAGTTATTGCAGTCCTCTTATCTCTCTAATCCTGAGGTGTGGCCTTGGAAACTACATGTCCCAGCATGCACTGCTCTGAGCACCCTGCATATGGCAATCCCCATGTACCAGGCAAGAGTTTCCAAAAGGAGACAGGGATGCATGCTGGGATCTGTAGTCTCTAGCTGAGTCTTCGCGATGAGCAGGAGGGCGGCCCCCTGCATTCCCCTTGACTACACCCCTGGTGACTGAGAAGGGAACCCTAACACAAGCCAAGTGAGGACATTCGTGGGAGGGCTTGGGATGCCAATGACCTTCTGGGCTGTGGTTTTCTTCTAGCGATCCATGCCTGGCCACGGACTGCAAATATGCCAGCAAGTTCCACTTCCATTGTCTCTTCGGGAACTGCAAGTACGTCTGCAAGACCTCGGGCAAGGCTGAGTCCCACTGCTTGGACCACATCAACCCCAGTAACAGCCTGGTGAATGTGCGAGACCAGTTTGCCTACTACTCTCTGCAGTGTCTCTGTCCCAACCAGGTCAGTGAGGCGGGGCGGGGGAGGCTCAAGGCCCAGGGCGAGCTCCTCCTGGCAGAGACTCGCTTTTCACACCATTTTTAAGTTGGCCTGCACCAGCCACTGGAAAGGACACTTACTGTCTGCCCTCAGAGCCCCTAGAGGCCGTTGGGCAGGGTCCAGCCCAATGCTCAGTTAGTGAGGGCTGCCATTTCAGGCCTAACTAAATGCCAGCGGAGGCTAAATGCTATCCCAGCCACTGTGTGCTTGACACCATCCACACCCATCCTGGAAATAGCTAGATGCCCCTTTCCCCAGAGGCCTAGAATTTTAAAATAGGCACGATGGGTAAAGAAATCGACTAGTCTATGCCTAGGCAGAAAAAGACAGATCAGGTTCACTTCAAAGGCCTAGTCTGGAGATTGGTAGGCTGCGTGAGTGGTCTGAGTGTACAGAAAAAGACTCCTACGATGGGGTTAGTGATGTCTAACTAGGTTTGGGCATACAGAAAAGAGGACTGAGGTAGATTAAGTGATGTCTGCCTAGGTCTGGTCATGCAGGGACAAACTTGAAAATAGATTAGTGATGTCTGCTCTGGCTGTGGCATTAGCAAAGAGCCAGGATTACCAGGTCGGATGACTTAAAGAAGTGACAAAGCGGACAGACTGCTTTACGCAACTGTCTTCTAACTCTGTGCATGGAAGAACGCAGTCGCAAAGCTTCCACAGCCCAGAGACAGCAGCTCACGGATGTCACTGCCTGTCCTGACACACCTACCCCTTGCCTCCCTGCAGCACTGTGAGTTCCGGATGCGCGGGCACTACCACTGCCTGCGGACGGGCTGCTACTTTGTCACCAACATCACCACCAAGCTTCCGTGGCACATAAAGAAGCATGAGAAAGCCGAACGGCGGGCCGCCAACGGGTTCAAATACTTCACGAAGCGCGAGGAGTGTGGAAGGCTAGGTACCTGAGGCCAGGGGTGGGCAGGGACTTCCGGTAGGCTGCACGGCGGCTCTGACCTCTGGGGTCCTGGGCCACCTTTCCAGGAGCTCATTCCTGCCACCCCCAGCCCCATGATGTGTGAAAGATGTGGCAGATGTCATTCTCCGGGTGTGGTCCATCAGGTTGTAAAGCATTCTGATGTTGAGCAGGTCCTCCTGCCCGGACATCCCAGGAAGATGGTAAGGGTGGCCCTAAGCATTGGCCCCGCCCCAGGACAACACCCTGGGGTCGCACCCTGGCATCGAGAGCTCGATTGCAGCTGCATCCCTGCCACCCAGGGCTCGGCTGCTCTTGATTAACTTTTCACAATGAGTGAACAAATAAGACCTAGCCATCCCGTGAGCTCTTTCGTTTTGAGGACTTTTTCCAAAAGGAGCTGAGGCTGCTCATTTGTTCATCCAGCTCAGTTATTTATTTACTTTTTTTTTAATATATATTTTATTTATTTATTATGTATACAATGTTCTATCTGCATATACACTTGCATGCCAGAAGAAGACACTGGATCTTATTCTAGATGGTTGTGAGCCACCATGTGGTGGCTGGGAATTGAACTCAGGACCTCTGGAAGAGCAGCCAGTGCTCTTAACCTCTGAGCCATCTCTCCAGCCCTTATTTACTTTCTTAGGCCTTTAGCATATGCTTGCAGGTAAACTGAGTGCCAGAAGCCTACAGTCAAGTACATTAGGGGCTCTGCTAAAGTACACTGAGCAGGAGACAGGCCATCCGGGTTTCTGAGCTCGGCGGCAGGTGTCTCCTGGTGCCTCTCCAGGCCAAGGCACTGGGGGCCCCAGTAGGGAGGAGCCCCAGGCCTGCAGGCAGAGGGCTCAAGAAAGGGCAAATCTCTGTGGACCTGCAGATGTGGGCAGGAGTCCCCTAGGAATAGAGCAGAAGCCGGGTGGTGGGGAGTGGCAGGCGGAGAGACAGTGCCTGCAGGCTGGGCCTCTCCTGGCCCCGAGGTCATGGCGGCAGGGCCTTGGGGGAGTCCATGCAGGCTGCTGCCAGCTGTATTCTGACCCCTCCGTGGGTGAGGGCTGAGACACTCCAAGTTAACTGCCAGAAGAGAGGGAACACAAACCTTTCCTTCAAGTGTTAGCTCAGGAAGGCTCCGTGGCCCGAGGAGGGCCAGTAACCAGAGCGACAGGTGCCCACACCTGGTGCCCCTGCTGTGGCAGGCTCGGCTTACAGCTGTCAGGGAATTCTGGAGTTGCCCTTATTTACTCAACTTTTGGTGGTTTGGGTAGTAGCTGGGGCCAAACAAAGCTGGGAGATGACATAAGACACCTGGCCAGCCGGGTACCATGGCAACGGGCAGGCCCTCGCCTGCCCTTAGCTGATGCCATTTCAGTCCTGCGTGCTCTATTTGTTCTCAGCCTAGAGCAAAGAAGGACTGGGGGTGGAGGCCAGCTGACCAGCAGTCTGAAACAGCGCGGCTTGCAGAGAGGGCCCGGAAGGCCCTCTGCCCCGAAGCTGTGGCTTCTCAGTGAATGGTGCCACGTGCCCCCAAGCAGGTCAGAGGGGAGGCCAGGGCTAGACAGCCAGGCAGGCCTGAGCTTCCCGGGATGAGCTGGCAGCAGGTATTTCCTCAGCGAAAGGACATTTTCCCCAAACGCCATCTGCCCATGAGCCACAGCACGCGCTGCCCGGGGAGGCTCACGCCGGTGTGCTCACACCCACAGGCTGCAAGTACAACCAGGTCAACAGCCACTTCCACTGCATCCGGGAAGGCTGCCAGTTCTCCTTCCTCCTCAAGCACCAGATGACCTCGCATGCCCGGAAGCACATGCGGAGGATGCTGGGCAAGAACTTCGACCGCGTGCCCCCGTCCCAGGTGAGAGCGAGGCCGGGTGGCCCACCAGGCGCAGGCCGTGCTGCCCGCGCTGCCTGCGGAGCCCTCGGGCCACTTCGTCAGGGCCCCTCTCCTTCCTTTCAGGGTCCGCCAAGCCTGATGGATGCCGAGACGGACGAGGGCGTGGATTACACTGGCTGCAGCCCTGGTGCCGCGTCCTCCGAGTCCTCCACCATGGACCGCAGCTGCTCCAGCACCCCCGTGGGCAATGAGAGCACCGCAGCAGGTGAGGGGCCCAGGCCCGGCCCTGTGAGGCTTTCGTGGGACAGAAGGTTGACAGCCAGGTGGCCTGTATGACATGGGTCATTGAAGCCCCTCCTGCCATTCTGCCCACCTCCCTCCTGTCATCCCTCCAGGTCACTTCAGTTTCCCCAGAGAGGGACCAGGGCTTGTCCCATAAGCCCCTGAGAAAACAGCCTAGCCCTGTGCCAGCCCTCCTACTGGCCTCAGTCCCAGCCTCCATCCAGAACCCAGGGCCCCGAGAGGCTCTGCCTCCCGGCCCTGTCCTCACCAAGGCCCTCACTGGACACCTGGTGCCCTCTGTGACCTCTGCCCACACTGCATCTACCGGCCTGTCTCCTCTGGCCCTTCCTCCCCCTCTTCTTCGTCATATTTCTCTGCTCATCTCTCCACATATTTCCATACTGCACTTGCTGTAGCCATTGGGTTTCTCATTTGGCTTCTTTTTGTTTGTTCTCTGTTTTGTTTTGTTTTTCTGCTTCTCTCCACCCTCTCCAGGCTGTCCGGTTCCTCCTCCTCCTCCTCTTCCTCCTCCTGCTGTGGCTGGTGATGAGGCTGCTCGCGGGGCTGCACCGCCCACCCTGACTCCATCCTTCCCACCGGCTGTGCTCCGGCCAGCCCTCCCCCCCCTCCCATGCCTCTTCTCTCCGTCCTGTCTGTCATACTCTCTGCTCAGTGCCACACTCGGAGCCAGCCGGGGCCTGGCCCGCCCCGTCAGCAGCCCGCCCAGCTTCCCGCCCATCACAGCCACTCCAACTCCAGTAAAAAGCGAAGCCCCCCTAGTTCAGGACGCTGCAGGTAACTCACACGTGCCTTCTTGCCAGTGTCTGTCACCCCGACTGGACCCTTTGCTGTGGCCAGCAGAGTCAAGGCCATGGCTACCCCACACCCCTAACAGCCGAATACCTTAGACAACAGACTGCCATGCCAGGGGCCAGGGGCCTGCCGGGTGACCTGTGAGGTCCTTGTCCTCCTTGGCCCTGTGAGGGCAGAGCCCGCTGCTATTCTCCGTTCACTTGGGAGCTGCCCAGGTCCAGGGGGCTCTGATACTGGTTTGAGCCTCTCCCCTTTTCCAGAGCTAGACAGGGAGAAGAACCCTTTGGAGCCTTCAGGCTCACCCAGTGCTCAGTGGTACACAGATAGCCCTCGCCATCCCTGCCCCGCGTCCAGTGCCCTGGTGGGAATGGTGTGCTTGCCCTCCTCCATGGGTGGACATCCCTCAGGTCTCCGTCCACCCACTCCTGCTTCATGTTGTGACTCAGCCCAGGAGCTGGGCCATCACCAGGGATGGTGGCCCTGAGCAGGGCAAAATTAATTCAGCCCACTGAAAGCTGCTGCCAGCATAACCAGGCAGAGGCCCGAGACTTCAAGCTGCAGTGCTCTGTCCCCCTCCTCCCACACACACACACCGATTTTCAGACCTGAGCTGCCCCCTTGCCCTTGCCTGGATGCTCTTTGCCATCCCAGCCCTTGCTTCCTCTTCATCTGTCAAGCACGAGTGACTGGGTCTTCTTTTCGGTATACTAGTGCAGAATTTTGAAGGCACAGTGACAGGGAGCCAGGCATCCTGGGATGCCTCCGTCTGCCTGGGCAGGGCCAGGCCTGGCCTCTTCTGAGTGATGGAATGCCAGGGCTGGCTGCCTCTTCCTCAGTGCCTGTAGCCAGCAGGCAGCAGCTGGAGGGGTATTCAGGGGCTTCCCAGAAAGACACAGAGAAGCCTGTGGTCACAGCCTCCCCGATCCTTGAGAAACAGGCTAGGGCCAGGTTGGCTGTCAGAGAGCCCAGTTCCCTCCGAGCTGCTGAGTTCAGGCCTCAGGAAGTGCTCTGAACAGAGAGGGCAGCAGAGCCTCTTCATGTTTCCCAGGTCCAGGCCAGGCAGAAAAATCCAAAACCTTAAAAGAAACTTCTGGTATCAAGAAGATGCTCCCAGGGGCAGAGCTACAGCCCCACAAGGCCTTAGGGCACTCAGCATCCCTGCTGCCAGGAGGCAGGTCCCCTGCACAGAAGCAAGCAGGCAGCCGGAGACTGGATAGCTGGCAGGAAGGGAGCCAGCCTGTCCCTCATTAGAGGCAGGCGTGTGATGGCGTCCTGGCCTGGGTCCAACTTGGGTAATTACACTCTGCCGACCTAGATTCCCAGCTTCCCCTTCAGCTTCAATTAGCGCTGGGATGTGTCCTCACTTCCCACCCAAACTGGCCAGGAAGCAGCCACCACATCCCGGCAGAGCGGCCACCCGGGATCCTGCAGACCTGGAAGTCAGGGGAAGCCTGGGACTCCCTGCCGCTCCCCAGGGGGCGGCGGGAGAGGCGCCCTGCCAGGGGGGAAGCCGGGGCGTCGTTCCTAAGAGGTGTCTGCTGGCCACCGCGCCAGACTCGGGGCCCCGTGTGGGTGTGGCCCTGGGAATGGTGCCCATGTGGGCACTGCTGCCAAAAGGGCACCCCTTCCACGCTGACCTCTCTCCGCCCCTCCCTAGGGAACACCATCTCCATGCCGACGGCCTCAGGGGCTAAAAAGCGCTTCTGGATCATCGAGGACATGTCTCCCTTTGGCAAGCGGAGGAAGACGGCCTCCTCTCGGAAGATGCTGGACGAGGGCATGATGCTGGAGGGCTTCCGGCGCTTCGACCTCTACGAGGACTGCAAGGACGCGGCCTGCCAGTTCTCGCTCAAGGTCACCCACTACCACTGCACGCGGGAGAACTGCGGCTACAAGTTCTGTGGGCGCACGCACATGTACAAGCACGCGCAGCACCACGACCGCGTGGACAACCTGGTGCTGGACGACTTCAAGCGCTTCAAGGCCTCGCTCAGCTGCCACTTCGCCGACTGCCCGTTCTCGGGCACCAGCACGCACTTCCACTGCCTGCGCTGCCGCTTCCGCTGCACCGACAGCACCAAGGTCACGGCGCACCGCAAGCACCACGGCAAGCAGGACGTGATCAGCGCCGCCGGCTTCTGCCAGTTCAGCTCCAGCGCCGACTGCGCCGTGCCCGACTGCAAGTACAAGCTCAAGTGCTCGCACTTCCACTGCACCTACCCGGGCTGCCGCCACACGGTGGTGGGCATGTCGCAGATGGACTCGCACAAGCGCAAGCACGACAAGCAGGAGCGCGGGGAGCCCCCCGCCGCCTCGCCGGGCGCTCCCGTCGGCCTGGACGGCTCGCTCTCGCTGGCGGCCGAGCAGGGCTCGCTGCTCTTCCTGCAGACGGCGGCCGCGGGGCTGGGCCTGCTGGGGGACGCGGCGGACCCCGGCCCGCCCGCCGCCGCGCTCGGGCCCCGAGACGGGCCTGCGGCGCCCGCCCCCGCCCCCGCCCCCGCCGCCGCCGCCGCCGGGGAGTCCTCCCAGGAGGACGACGAGGAGGAGCTGGAGCTGCCGGAGGAGGAGGCCGAGGAGGACGACGAGGAGGACGACGACGACGAAGAGGACGACGACGAGGAGGAGGAGGAGGACGACGATGACGACCTGCGCACCGACTCGGAGGAGTCGCTGCCCGAGGCTGCGGGCGAGGCGGGCCCGCGGACCGCGCTGGCGGCCCTGGCTGGGCCCGGCCCCGCGCCCGCCGCCGCGTCGCCCTAGCCGCGCCGGCCCCCCGAGGAGCGCTCTGGAGGCGACCCCTGTGCACAGCCCCCGCCGCGCCGCCCCGGGGAGGGAGGCGCCCTGCCCCGCCGGTGCTTCCGGACCCCCGGTCCGTCTCAGGGCAGAGGCGGGGACCCCCTGGTGCTCCGGGCGCGCCCTCCCGGCCCGCCCCGCGGGTGTTCAGGGAACAGCAGGTGCTGTGTCCGGGCGGCCTCGCTGACCTGCGTTCCTCCCGGCCCCACCCCCGCCCGGGGGCTCCCGCGGGGTCACCGGGTTGGGGGCAGCAGGCGCCGGTAGCATCTGGCTTTCCCCCCCCCCCCCCGCCGGCGACACCCCCCCCCCCCCCCCCGGGGGAGGGTCGCCGAAGACGGTCGGCCTCAGCCGGTGACACTGCAGACACGAGGAGGGACCGGCCGCGAGCCCGCGCGCCTGCGCGCCCGCCTCCCAGCCGAGGGCTGGCGACGGCTGGGGACGGCTGGGGAGGTCAGGCGCCAGCCCACCCGCCAGCGAACCGAGCGTGGCCAAAGCAGGCACAGCGGCCGGGCCCGGAGGCCGAGGGTCCCCAGCACTCTGGTGCAAGCAGGAAGGATGCGACTGTTTTTGGCTTTAATAATCAAAATAGAAAAAAAAAAAAAAACAAACCCAAGAAAGTTGTACAGTATTTTTTCCTGTAAAGGTTATTATTCTACATAGAACAAAAAGAGAAGAAGGGGGTTTAAAAAAAAAAAGAAAGAAAGAAAAAAGCAGGTGGGTGCAAGAGCGCTCCAGACCAGCCCTGGGATCGGGGACCTGAGTGCAATTTCTCCTGTGGAATTGTTTAGCATTTATTTTAGCGGCCTCGTTCGGGGCTTTGTCTTCACACTAGCACTGATGGGGGCTGCGTGATTCCAACTTTTAACTTGAATTTTGTAGAGACGAGGAAAAAAAAAAAAGACTATTCTCTTGATACAAGTTTTGTAGCTAATTTAACATTTGAGGGTTTTTCTGTTGGTTATGCGTGTGGCTTTATAGGGCTTTTTTTTTTTTTTCTTTGTTTCAGTTTTGTTATAATTATTTTGTTTGGGATGCTTTTGTGCCGGTGCAGCCCACCCAGATTCCGTTCCTTTTCCAAAATACCCCTTTCCTGGAGGCCACAAGGCTCACCTGCAGGCACCTAGCCAGGGCCTGCTCGGGTCCCCAGTGGGGGCCGGCTGCCTGAGGCCAGGCTTGGGGTGTAAACCTGTGCGGTCTCGGTTCTGACTCATCAGGCTGGGGGACAACAGGCTGGTCCAGCCAACAGAGAAGGGTCTGGAGCCCCACCAGGAAGCCCCCTCCCACGGGCTGCAAGGGGGAACCTGCCCAGATGGGACAGTGATTTTATGTGTGTGTGTGTGTGTGTGTGTGTGTGTGTGTCCGTCCTCTTGGCTGCCCACAGGCAGAAAGCCAGGAGCGTCTGAACTGGAGAGGGAGCAGGGAGGGCCCAGAGGTGAGATGAGAGTACCCAGTTCAACAGGAAACACGCTGATCTCTGAACAGCCCCGGCCAGAGCCTCCATGCTGCTGCTGAGAGTTCGCCCAGATTCTGACCTACCGCGGGACCCTGCCTCTGTGGAAGGGGGTTTGTAATGGAAAAATAAAAAGATAAAAGATTTAAAAAAAAAACAAAACATTTTTCAATGTAGCAAAATCAAACAAAAAAATTAAAAGGAAAAAAAAAAAGAGAAGAAGAAGCGGAGAGCGCGAAGTCTAGCCTTCTGGAGCTTCATATTGCACATTAGGACTATAAGCCATTGCTAGCTCATTTTGAATTTTAATGTGTAATTTTTGTTTTACTTTCTTTCTGTGAGGAAAACGATGCCTGATCCACCGATGCTCTTTTTAATGTTTTATAACTATGTATGTGTATATATATAAATATAAAAGTAATATGTATGCACATATGTGTGTATATATCTATATGTATATACATATATAGAGATATAGAGATATATAGAGAGGTTTTGAGACAAAAACAAAACAAAACAAAAAAAAAAAAAAAAAAACAAACTGCAGACCGTGAAAGAGAACTGAACAGCGCGTGCTCTGATTACTTGAATCTGGTCTCCTCGGCACCTGGTTATTAAGAACTGAATATTTTTCCACTTGAATTTAGTGCTATTAGAAATTTAATATATGTGTTTTATTTATTTGATTTTTTTTGCATGACTGATGCAAGGTTTGACATTTTCACTCAATAAAAACTGGAAAAAAACTATCACGTTATATTTTATTTTTAAAATTATCCCAGGTGGTTGGCCACGACCCACTGTGTAGGGTAGCCCAGACGCAACCAGGATCTGAGTACCAACCCAGAGAGAGGAGGAAGGAGTTGGCCACCTTACAGCCCAGCAGGGCAGGGGTGCAGGAATGGACTAGTTTTGCCTCTGGGCATAAGGTCAGGTTCTCCCACTATTTGCTAGAGAGATGATGCAGGGCTCGGGTCTTGCTCCTCCCCTCAGCTCCACCTGAACCCCACCTTAAGCTCAGGAGCCACTGCTGGGACGGCTCACCTGGAGGTGAAGCCTCAAGCCTCCCCAGGCCCTAGACTCTGGGCAGCGCCCCCCCCCCCCCCCCCCCCCCCGCCGTGTTTTCTCTGAGGCTACAGGACTGCCACTTGGCAAGGCGATCCCTCAGCTCCTTCCTTCTTCCTGCCGGGACCTGCCCAGTCTGGGAACAGCGCGTCCCGGAGTGCTCGGTGGCGGATCCACAGGCACAGGGTCTGCGGCCTTCACGCCAAGGCCTACGCTGCTGGCCTGGTGGAACTAGGCGGAGGACAGCTCTGGAAGCTAAGCCGAGCTTGGGCCAGGCTGGATGAAAGCGCAGGTGCCATGCAGCTCGCAGAGTTCATGTGGCCTCTATCTACCCCAACACCTCCAGCTGGGGACCTGCCTCTCCATCATCTGCGTCACGCCTGCCCCGCTCTGAGCCTGTCTGCCAGTGGCCAGAGCTGCCTGAGGCCTCCAGAAAGATACCTGCAAGAGCCCGCCCCCACTGAACAACATTACACTGACTTGTCAAACTCCTGTCACAGGGAACATTGTGTCACTTTCCCAAGAGTCTCAAAAAGCTGGGTCCGCGCAGTGCACCCACCCCCTCGCTGAGCGTGGGTCGCTCGGGCTCCAGCCAGCATGGGTACCGGGAGCAGAGCACAGCCTCGCCCAGGGGTGCCAGGCTGGGTGTTTCCCACCCCAGAGCCTCTCCTCAGCCCAGCTCAGCCCGCCCTTCCCTTTCTGCTTTGCTCCTGGAACTCCGCCCACAGGCTATTTACATAAATATGTTTGTAACAGACATGAAAATAGAGACTTTTTTTGGTCTTATTAAAATGTTCAAGTTGGAACTCGCCTGTTGTTTGTGGATATCTCCATTCTGTTAAATAAAACAGTGACTAATTTATGGGATAAAACACAAGTTCAACAAATTAAAGCCATTATTGGAGCTTCACCAGTCCTGGTGGGCTGCGTGGCCTCCCGTGGGGCCTGAGGGGAGGCAGGGAGCCAAGCTCCAAGCTCAGCTGGTGATAGGCTGGTGGGCGGCGTGGCCACAGGGCTCCTTCCCGGCACCGCACAGCAGCCATCAGGGCAGGGCTCAAGGAGTGAAGGCAGTTTTGGGGGTAGACTCACGGGGCCCAGAGGAGGAGGTTCACTAATCCTGACTGGCCTCCCAAAATAACCCCACATCTCCTGTCTCTGGGCTTTCTGGGCCTGGCTAGACCTTGGCAGACCCACACCCTGGGGACGTCAGAACCAGCTTCCCAACAGCCTTCAGGCAGCGCCCAGGGAAAGCACTGTCTCTGCAGAGAGTGGGTTGCTGACCCTGAAGGCCAGGAAGGGCACACACCCGTGTCAGGTACACGGGCCCACTTAGATGGTGCTCCAGCCCTCCCCCCAGAGCTGGGAGGGGAGCAGGCTGCTGTGGCAGCACCGCCCCAGGGCCCAGGCCCCATGAGGTTCCCTGTGGCTCGTTGGACTTGATACAAAGCGCTGTAAAACATGTTTTTGTTCTGGGGTTTCATTAGCTGTGGTGGTGTGACACTTCAACACCCAAATTGGGGCAAATTCAAGAGTTTTGAAACATCGAGGAATGAGTTAGAACCAGCTGTGCAGGCCTGCAGTGCATGCTCGTGGGCAGCCTCCCTCCCAGCCAGGGCTGGTCAGGGCGCTCCAGCAACGAGGCCTCTCCCCAGCTCAGGCGGGGGTGGGGTACACAGTACAGCGCCCTCCCTGGACAGTATACCCAGGCCACTGGGCAACACGGCTGTCTATTCACTGTCATGAGAGGCGGCCCCAGCTCCTCAGGAGGCTTTGGCCTAGAACCAGGACACAGGGGTAAACACTGCTAAGGGCAGGGCAGGTCTCCAAGCAGGACCCCAGAATGCTGGAATCTGAAGACCTTGCAGAAGTAAAGGGGGTCGCCTGTACCACCCTTTCTGGCAGAGCCGTCCCACTTGGGGCAAGTGGACCGAAAGGGAGTTCCAGGAGGTGGCCTCTGTGGGATCACATCACTAAAGGGAGACACTCCTCCACCAAGGCCTCTCCCGCCTCCCCCGCACCTTCCAGCCCTTAGCCTCGCCCGAGGTTTTGGGGAAACCAGCTGGCACATCCCCCATCCATACAGGGCCCTTGCAACAGCAGTGCCTGAAAATGACGCCAGAGGCAGGCTGACCGGCCAGCCAGGCGTGAAGCCAAACACGCCCAGGTTGCCAGAGCTTCACTTGGGTTCCTGGGGCTGCTAAAGCACTTGCCCTGCAAGTACAAAGACCCAAGCGGGATCCCCAGAACCCACGTAAAAATGTTGGGCACGGTGGCACACACCTCTAATCCCATTGCTGGGAGGCAGGAACTGGCAGATCCTGAGGGCTGATGGCCAGTCAGTCAAGCCTGACCAGTAAGGGACAGGCCAATGAGAGATGTCTCAAAGGAGGTGGACAGGGTCCCTGAGGATGGCACCAGAGGCTGTCTCTGGCCTCCATGTCCACATTCAGGTGCGTGCACAAACCTACCAACCAAAGCACGGTTTAACCAGAAGCAGCTCAGTCCACCAGCTATGGCAAGGGAAATGGCCCCATGACAGTATGCCAGTGTGCCATGTTGCTGTTGGCAGGGGAGGGGGGCTCGGACACTAGTGTGTTATGTGAATCCCCAGTTCACTTTTCAACTTAGGGTGGGTTTGGTGGCCGCATGCAAAGCCACGCTCCGCTGCTCCTCTTACTTGGGTCTCCTTTCTCTGTCTTTTGAGCTGGCTAAGTCCTCACTGCTACAGGCCCTTGGGTAGCTGGGACAGAAGGCACATGTT